TGCTAGATCTCTTTTGGGCGACGATGGGCCTGGCTCGATCCTGCGTTCCGTCCAGGAGCTGGTCACCGCCAATGACGCCGCCGAGCATCTCCTGGCGCGGGTGCAGTCCAACCTGGTGGCCCGCGAGACGGGCCTTGTCGTTGAGCGCAACTCTCGTGTCGCGGCGGAAGCGTACGAGGCCGCCCTCCGGGACCAGCTGGACACCGAGACCCGCCAAGCAGCGGAGACGATCGGTCAGTTGCGCAGCGACCTGGCGGTCGTCAACAACAAAGTCGATGCTTGGTCCAAGCGTTTCCAGACCGTCGGTTCGGTGGAGGCGTCCCTGCGAGCGTCGATCGCGCCCTGAAGGCTCAGCGGGAGGCTCAGGGCCAGCAAGCGGCGTCAGTTGGACCTTGACCGCGCATGTGACGAGCGGGACTCGGCACGCCAAGACGTCAGCCAACAGAGCGCGCGCCCAATTGGCCTCAGCAGCACGGGGCCGAGACCTCATCCTTGCAGAGATGGCGCGCCTGGAAAACGAGGTGAAACGTTTTAAGGAAGCTCCTTCGGCCGCTTTGTCTCCAAGACCGCCATCCGCGTTGGCCCCCGTGACCGAGCACTTCCTTCGCACACGGGTCCGCGAGCTAGAAGGCGAGTTGGCGGCAGCCCGGTCGTCGGCCGAAACCAGTCGGACCACCGTGGAGTCGCGGCTTGACGCGCTCCGGGCCCGGGCGAAGGACCAAGAGGAGGCCCTGAACAAGTCCGCCGAGGTGGTCGGCACCCTCCGCGACTCGAACCTGGCTCTGGGTCAGGAGTGCGACGAACTTCGCGTCCGGCTCGACGTGGCGGAGCAAGATGCCCTCAAGGCCAATCTACGGTTCGCCGACGCGGTGCCCACCTTCTGGGACTGGGTGGTGCGCCAGTTCGCCGTCGAGATGACCAAACAGGTCGGCGCAAACGCTTTCCGGCACAGGGCCAAAGTGGGGCAGGTTCGTACTGCCAAGGCCCTTGCGCTCCATCCTTGCCCATCGTGTAGTTGCCACGATTCCTCCCCGGTTGCTTTCAAAGTTCCTGTTGGCAGTCCTGGCTTCTTCACAAGTCTTCAGGGCCCGGGTGAACCATGCCAGCCACCGTTCCGGGTCGTCAATGTTAGCAGGGGCTTCCAG